TCTATCGGGTTGAGGTCAGGACTCTGTGCAGGCCAGTCAAGTTCATCCACACCAGACTCTGTCATCCATGTCTTTATGGACCTTGCTTTGTGCACTGGTGCACAGTCATGTTGGAAGAGGAAGGGGCCAGCTCCAAACTGTTCCCACAAAGTTGGGAGCATGGAATTGTCCAAAATGTCTTGGTATGCTGAAGCATTCAGAGTTCCTTTCACTGGAACTAAGGGGCCAAGCCCAGCTCCTGAAAAACAACCCCACACCATAATCCCCCCTCCAACAAACTTTACACTTGGCACAATGCAGTCAGACAAGTACCGTTCTCCTGGCAACCGCCAAACCCAGACCCGTCCATCAGATTGCCAGATGGAGAAGCGCGATTCGTCACTCCAGAGAACGCGTCCAGTGGCGGCGTGCTTTACACCACCGCATCCGACGCTTTGCATTGCACTTGGTGATGTATGGCTTGGATGCAGCTGCTCGACCATGGAAACCCATTCCATGAAGCTCTCTGCGCACTGTTCTTGAGCTAATCTGAAGGCCACATGAAGTTTGGAGGTCTGTAGTGATTGACTCTGCAGAAAGTTGGCGACCTCTTCGCACTATGCGCGTCAGCATCCGCTGACCCCGCTCCGTCAGTTTACGTGGCCTACCACTTCGTGGCTGAGTTGCTGTCGTTCCCAAACACTTCCATTTTCTTATAATACAGCTGACAGTTGACTGTGGAATATTTAGGAGCGAGGAAATTTCACGACTGGATTTGTTGCACAGGTGGCATCCTATCACAGTTCCACGCTGGAATTCACTGAGCTCCTGAGAGCGACCCATTCTTTCACAAATGTTTGTAAAAACAGTCTGCATGCCTAGGTGCTTGAATTTATACACCTGTGGCCATGGAAGTGATTGGAACACCTGATTCCAATAATTTGGATGGGTGAGCAAATACTTTTGGCAATATAGTGTATCTTGAAGAGTGTAACCACTCTTCAAGTTTGAGGGTCACTGCCCTGAGGGCCCCAATGACCACGGGTAGCACTGATGTCTTGACCTTCCAGGTTTTCTCCAGCTCTTCTGAGCCCCTGGTGTGTGTATATACACTATATTGCCAAAAGTATTTGCTCACCCATCCAAATTATTGGAATCAGGTGTTCCAATCACTTCCATGGCCACAGGTGTATAAATTCAAGCACCTAGGCATGCAGACTGTTTTTACAAACATTTGTGAAAGAATGGGTCGCTCTCAGGAGCTCAGTGAATTCCAGCGTGGAACTGTGATAGGATGCCACCTGTGCAACAAATCCAGTCGTGAAATTTCCTCGCTCCTAAATATTCCACAGTCAACTGTCAGCTGTATTATAAGAAAATGGAAGTGTTTGGGAACGACAGCAACTCAGCCACGAAGTGGTAGGCCACGTAAACTGACGGAGCGGGGTCAGCGGATGCTGACGCGCATAGTGCGAAGAGGTCGCCAACTTTCTGCAGAGTCAATCACTACAGACCTCCAAACTTCATGTGGCCTTCAGATTAGCTCAAGAACAGTGCGCAGAGAGCTTCATGGAATGGGTTTCCATGGGCGAGCAGCTGCATCCAAGCCATACATCACCAAGTGCAATGCAAAGCGTCGGATGCGGTGGTGTAAAGCACGCCGCCACTGGACTCTAGAGCAGTGGAGACGCGTTCTCTGGAGTGACGAATCGCGCTTCTCCATCTGGCAATCTGATGGACGGGTCTGGGTTTGGCGGTTGCCAGGAGAACGGTACTTGTCTGACTGCATTGTGCCAAGTGTAAAGTTTGGTGGAGGGGGGATTATGGTGTGGGGTTGTTTTTCAGGAGCTGGGCTTGGCCCCTTAGTTCCAGTGAAAGGAACTCTGAATGCTTCAGCATACCAAGACATTTTGGACAATTCCATGCTCCCAACTTTGTGGGAACAGTTTGGAGCTGGCCCCTTCCTCTTCCAACATGACTGTGCACCAGTGCACAAAGCAAGGTCCATAAAGACATGGATGACAGAGTCTGGTGTGGATGAACTTGACTGGCCTGCACAGAGTCCTGACCTCAACCCGATAGAACACCTTTGGGATGAATTAGAGCGGAGACTGAGAGCCAGGCCTTCTCGTCCAACATCAGTGTGCGACCTCACAAATGCGCTTCTGGAAGAATGGTCAAAAATTCCCATAAACACACTCCTAAACCTTGTGGACAGCCTTCCCAGAAGAGTTGAAGCTGTTCTAGCTGCAAAGGGTGGACCGACGTCATATTGAACCCTATGGATTAGGAACGGGATGTCACTTAAGCTCATATGTGAGTCAAGGCAGGTGAGCAAATACTTTTGGCAATATAGTGTATATCTATATATATATAGATATATATATATATATATATATAAAGAAATCAAGCAGCCCATAAACAATGGTTATCTTGATGGAGGGAGCAACAATGCAGTTCCTTCATCTGATCTCAAAATATGGCTGCAGAATGCAAAGCTGGCAACATATGTACGCATCAGCAGATGCTGATAAAAGGATAAAATGTTAATTTATGGCAAAGGTATTGCCAGGCCCATGTATTGTTCCATCTCTAGTCCTGATAGTGTTTAATTAGTACTTTTTGGGGCCCCTAATGATTTTTTTCACCAGAAAAAAAAAATGTTATAAGGGTTTGCCAACCGCAGTAGTTCTTATCAATGCATCGATGCACTTGGCAGCTATTGAGGCCTTTGCTCAGGCTTAAATAAACTCAAAAGTTCATAGTGTATTTCAAGCACTTGGGTCTCAGGTTTTATCCATCTTGGCATGCAATACATTTGCTCTTCACCCATCCTTCCCTCCGTTCACAACTCCACTAGAGTACTATTGATTGCTCGGCTCCATTACTTTGTTTACTCATATCTAACCTCTAGTCCAATATCTTTTTATGTTAAATAGAAAATGTTCTCGAGGCTAAACTTTTGGCAGAATAGAAATCATAAAGCCAGAAAGTAATGAACTAGCTTAGATCAAATCAAGAACGTGTTAAAATGGCCCAGTCAAAGCGCAGACCTCAACCCAGTAGAGAATTTATGAATGTCTAAAACTAATGAACATGGATGGAAGCCATAAATCCAATTTGTCCGAGCTTGTGCCGTTTTGACAAACACATACACACCCAAACACATTGTGGTCACCACATGAAAAAGAAGCATGAATACTTGTGAGGTGTAGGAACTGGAAGTACCTGTTACTTTAAAACAAAAATGTTAATTCTCATAAAATCCTGTCTGTAGCTGCCTTAGGCAAATAAACTTAAAGACTCTTGATTCACTTGGCATATTGAAGACTGTAGAGGGAGGAACACACAATGTTGATATCCAGAAGAAAAAAAAGGCCACCCTTATGTCACAGTAACAGGTTTGAAGCTTTGATCTTTATCTTTTACAGCATGACTCAGGATGAGAGCATGCTGACTCAGACTACAATACAAAGATCTTTTTAGCTCTTTGTGACGCCCACACATGGAAAACATGACGCCCATTGGGAAAAATACACTTTCATCCAACTGTGAAAAGGTTTTCTGTTGACATATTTACCTCTATAATCTTATCTTCCGGTATTTAGAAACACACCTCAGCTACAAATCAAGTGCATCAAGGTGGAAGATTTTGACTTCTAGAAGGTCACAGAGAACAAGACAAACTCCCTCCTGAACTCTTGTACTACCAGTTCTCCGCCTGTTATGCTGTAACTTAAATCTGTAACTCAACAAAGCGGTTAAACTTCAATGAGAGCGATGAGTAACAAAGGGAATGCAAATCTTGCCTCACTTGGCACAGATTTCCTAGAGACTGCCATTCATCCTTTTCAAAGCAGGCTCCAGTGATGCATTTCCATTTCTTCAATATTGTTGGAGGCACAGAGGATTACCGATGCACCAACCGTGCCCTTTCAGACAAAAATAAGCAATTGTCACTTCAACTGACAGATTAACATTAATAACTTAATTGTGGATAATAGAAACACACGTCTAACATTTTTGAAATCAAAAAGATTTGGGCATTGTTCTTTAAACCTCCGAATGCCATTACCCAATTTAACCAGCAGAGGGAGGGCTTTGATCCAGCTCCTGCATTGAATGAAGTCGTGACCTAGTGAGGCTTTTAGTGAGTCATTTCTCAGTACCACGGTGTCCTGCGCCTTCCACGCCTTCCACGTGGTGGTGAGTCACCCTCCACTGGGGAAAGAACATGTAGGACAGCCTCTGACTGACATACCTGATGAGCAAATACCATCTAAGAAATGCTAGCCATGAAGACAATTTTAAAAATGCTGCCACAAAGGAACAGGCTCTCAGTCTCATACCAAGTTTTTAAATTACCTTTTGATATGTGGTTGAATGGAAGGCCATTCCTCAATAGGAAAAGAAAAGACATAACTCACAAGAATGCTTTTCATTTCAATTTATTTATCTTTAAAGAACCAATACGAATCGGGGGATGTTTTCGAAATGGGTACAATAATAAAAAAAAAACTGACCATTTTCCATTCTCCACCACGTGTGTCAGACCATACTCTGGGCTCTGGGTATGTGAGCTGAAATCTGCATATTCGTTTGGGAAATCCTTTAGCGCCATCCCCTGATTTGGTAAAGTGAATGACAGCTGGAGGAGTACCAACTGAAGCAGCTCTTACTTCCCCTCTGAAATGTCTGCAAGTGTGTGTTTGATGTTCAGCAGGTTCTGATGGGCGTATTTGAGGTGGACTGATTATTGCACTCCAACAAGACTTAGAAGGGGAAAAAAAAATAAACACATAAAAGTTGAAAGACAAAGTGTCCTTGCCCCTGCCAAACTCAACACTGCCACACTTCTCTTGCGAATAAATATGATATATTCAGCCTCTGTGAATCTCTTAACTGAAATTGACTTGAAGCACGTGAAGAGCCAAAAACTAAAAAAAAAAAAAAAAACATTACTGCATTTTCAGGTGAACCTTTTGAGTTTTGTGCAAAAACAAAAACACAATCACAATGTGTTCAAAGTTTAAAAATGTTTTTTTAAAGGCCTAATAACAATTAAAGGAAATAAAAACAGAATCAAACATTTCATTAGCATGTATGTGTGGAAAAGAAAATAAAGATTCACATGATGGAAGGTAATATCCCATGATTACAACTTGAGTTTAAAAGAAAAAGAAAGTACAGGATGGACTTGAGAGGAAAAAAAAAAAAAAAAAAAAAAAAAAAAACCAGATGAAATTCTGGCCCGTGGTTTGGTTGAGCTGTAGAACCGGGAGGCGGGCCCCATCTGTGTGCTTTGACCTTCCATTCATTGGTTCGGCTGGTGGATTTCCCCAGATCTAAATTCATTTTGTTTGATCGTTCGATTTCTCTCAGATCAATTAACCATGACTCAGTGTTTACAAATCATCACAACAATTACTGATAGCACTCATTTTTTTATGTTAAAAATCTTCTTTGTTGGAAGATTCCAAACTATGTGCATTACAAGCAGATGCACAGACGGGCAGCCTACTGCACGCAGCAGTTGTGGCCGTTCTCTTTGAACCGCAGACGCATTTTGGGTCTGTATTTCTCGAGGTAAAGAAGCTGTTTGGAGTTGAAGGCTCCACGTCTCTTCCTACCAAAAAAACAACAAAACAGGAAGGTTTAGATTGTAATCCAGAAAGTAACACATTCAAAGCTCTGAAGACAATGATTACCTTTTTAAAAGTAATCCACTTTGCTTATTGATTATTTCTGACTGGCAAGGAAAACAGCAAAACAAACTGTCTACAAATTATTAACTCAGTCAGCACAGGTATAACCATGTGAAATTTAATTTCTTTTCAACCACACACTAGTTTAAAAGGACAGCTTTAACATTTTGGAGAAAGTGTTTTCTTTTTAATAAATTTAATATCTTTTAATATCTAATCTACAGCACACACTGCATCTTTAAAACTTATTTTTGACTTGGCTGAACCTGACGGCTAAAGCTTGAATGAGAATAAACCCAAGAAAACTGGTTCAGCCTTAAAAAATATCAAAATACCGATCGAAATACAGATCTATAAACTACTATCAAATGTAAACATGGTTTTCGCTAGAGAAGTCTTTAAAAAGACACGAAAAAGCTGAACATCAGGAAATTATATGAAGCTGTGAGCTCCAAAAGAAGGTCCTGTGTGAAACCAATTGAAAAAGCATTAATCTTTACAGGGTTTCTAACAATTATTCAATGTGATCTTCCAAATTATTTTTTTTTCATTTCACGTCTGGTATGTTTGTCAAGGGGTTTCCCACCTGAGTTACCCAATTTACAGCCTACAGGCTTCATACCAGCTTTTGACATCAGGTTTTTAGGAGCGTCTCAGATACACAGAAGAGCTATAGCATGAGAGGAAAGTTTTGGTTTTATACCAGAATGATTCAATTATTTCCAAGAAAGACTAACAACTTTGTGTGTAATCCCTTTAAAAGGCGTTTTGCTTTCCTCTGTTTCTGGGTTTGTAATTTTAGCGTAGCACCAAAAACTGCTCAAAAAAAAACACACCGAACAAAAACACTGACTGATGAATCTTAAAGCTAAACTGGTTTATTTCAAATAGAGAAAATCCAGTCAAGTCAAAGACATTTTAGGAATTTCAATTCAAAGCATTGAAAAAAATGTATCTAAGAACCTCCAGCTTTAACCGTTAAGCTTTTAAGTTTCTGTTACTTTGACCAGAAATGCCTGAAATATTTTGTGTCAAACTGTTTCATGTGGGACGTTCATTGGACGCACACCGCCTCCAGCCTAAATTTCCTGTCTAAATAATTATTGGTTTCTTCTTGTAATGTTCAGTCAGTGACTGGAAAACATTTAGAAAATTGTTTTAATGTAAACCTCTATAAGGCGTTTGGGACTGTAGTTGTTTAAAATCAGTGGAAGTCAGTTTTGTTCCCTACAACTGTGGGACAATCTATTAGCTTTAGCCACCGCCTTCAGGGAAGCTGGATGGTCACTGTATTAACAATCAAATACTCTCATCCTTTATAGGTAAACTGCATATAATCTATCAACATAACATAAGTTTTGTGGGGGGAAGAAAAAAAAAAAAAAAAAGTGTCTTAAGCTCACAGGTACGACAGGTACTTACTGCCTTATGAACTGCACGGCATCTTCATACTTCATTCCTCCCTCAATGAGAGCTAAGGCCACCAAGACTGGAGCTCTGAAAGGTAAAAGGAATCCAACATACTGGTTAAAGCAAGAATAGTGAGAACAGGAGATGAAATACCAAGGCTGCAGGGCTCCTTAGCAATAATAAGGGGGTGAAGGTAAATCTGGGAAACAGGCCTGGGAAATCTACAGGGGTGTTGGAGTTCACAGGTGCCCTGCTGAGGTGCTGTACTCATGCTCTGTGATAAGTTACAGTGAAACGGACTCCTCCTTTGTCACCAGAGGGAACACAGAATGAGTAAAAGTAAATAAATACAGCAGCTCCCTGGACCACTTAACAGATCAGTTATCAGCGCTAACAGAGCTACTTTTCTAGCTCAAAAACTTTAAAGAGAAGCAGTGCTGGAGAAATAAGTGTGGTAAAGAGTGTTAGGTGAGACGATATGACTACAGACGAACCAAGAAGAGCTCAGTAAGGAAACTTTAGCAAGAAAAAGAAAAGAAAAACTGGTGAATTCAGAAATGACCAGTCTAAACTATACTTGGAAAAACCTCTGGAATGTCACAGCAAGGCAAGAAACCCCCTAAGGGTGGGCCTCTACTTTGTCAGAGAAGACACTTTCACACAAGTTTCCTCACATCATCTGCTCCTGCCTGCATCGTTTTCACACTCGTGTTATTCAGTACAACTTTACTGTAGTTCTCCGTCACCCTGAGGTGTGATTACAACGGGCCATAACTTCACATTACGCTTGCAGCCTCCTTCATGACACGACTATCGTATAAACATTTAATTGCATTAATTTGTAGTGAGAGAAGAGAAGTACGTGTTGTAACCAAGGATTATCTAATCGGTTGACTTTATTTACTAAGCAGAGGGAACAGTAGGGAGAAAACGGTTCGAGTTACGAGCTGAAACTGTGCAGGGACAAAACAATCAGCTCAATGTGTGTCATGTCTGGCAAGGGTGAAGCAGGTGGTGAAGGGGTGAACATGAAGCAGGAGGACGGCACGATGAAAAGGAGATCAGGGTAAAATGGACTTCTCAGATTCTTTACCATTCTGTTTCCTGCAACAGAGTGCATGAACTCTGTAACCTTATTAACCCATTTAGGCCGGGAAAGCATTACCGCATTTCTACCATTCAAGCCGGGGGTGCTGTTGCGTCATTCTACCATTGACGCCGGGAGAGCATATAAGTCAAGCAAGAAGAAAGAAGTTTTTTTCAAGCAAACATGGAGGAGTTTGACAGAGAAGAGTTGTCGGAAGGCAGTGATTTTGAGGAGTGTGTCGGCTTTGATGACGGTATAGATGAAATGATGACTTTGAACGCGCTGAACCAATCGAACTACCACCGCAATGCACGGAGTGTTTTCAACCGCACACCTGGAGTGAAAGTTGATTTGCCTGCAGACGCCACACCGCTGCAGGCATTTGGGCATATTTTTAATGAAGAACTTTGGATGCATCTAGTTACCGAGACGAATAGGTACAGTGACCAAACAAACCAAACTCCAACAAGAGCAAAGATGGCAAAGTGGTCACCCGTGACTGTGACGGAGATGAAGACATTTATTGGGCTGTGTATGTAAACCTCTCTTCAGGACGCAGTTCCCCCAAAATATGTCCCGGGACAGATTTGTGGCCATCTGGAGGTAGGTTGTATGCAATTTATAACACAGACATATGCATTATTATGCATAATAATACTGTTAATAAGTAATCATCAGATAGTTATTTATGTAATGTTTGTTCTTTATTTTGAAAACGTTTTATATTGCACATTCTCAATGAAGACATGATCACATATGGAAAAAATAAAAGGTTGAATTTTTTTTTTTTGATTACTGCTTTTCACATTTTTTTTTTTGGAAGAATTTCAAAGATAAAATATATTTTGAGTTCTATCTGCTACAGAAGCTGAGATATCAATAATTAAGGCGTTGACACAGTTGCTGAATTTACAGAAAAACTTCAGGTTTTAGGGGTATTTTTTAAAATCGGCCATAGGTTTTTAAGGTGTTTTTTCCAGGCGTTTTAGGCCTAAATGGGTTAAAGTGGAGTCACTCTGTTACAGGGGATGGAGATGAGCCCCGACTGACCAGAGCAGTCGATACTAAACAGAAATGCTTTTTAATGCTTTTCTTTCTGAATATAAAACTTGAGGGAAATTAAAACAGACAGAACTTTGACTCAAATTTAAACTGCGCCATAAACTAAAACATTTGTTTTGTTGTGATTTGACATGTTGTGAGGGAACCTTTGAAAGAACAGGACTTGTATTTATTTACATAAAAATGCGAAGAGCAGCATAAACATTTGTATCCTGCCCACCTTACTGTGATGACCCTAAAGAAGATACTGTGAAATCAGTTGCTTCTTAAATAAAAAACTAATTTTGGGCTGGGTGATTAATTAAATTTTCAGTTTATGGCTATTAAATTCATGATTGATGATTCAATTTCATGATGTTTTAATTTTCAGAGTTACAGCAGTTCATCACTTTGTTCTTAAATATTTACTTATAACTATTAAACTGGCTAATTGATTGCTGCTACTAGCTGATAATATTTAGTGTGTTATATTTTCATTGTTTGTAGTGAAACATGATTACCTTACAAGCATGTTTAACAGCTTGAATTTTAAATCAAGGTCAGCTCCAGGTGGGGTGATTCAAATCCAAGCTATTTTTCTAAAGCAATATATGATGATTGTCATTTAGTATTATGAAATTTAAATGACATAACAAAATCTATGAATTGGATCTGGTAGCAGAGCCCAATCCAAGACCCAACAGGAAATCTGAGATAAGATGTAGAGACCGATGTTCACAGATCCACATTCAGATAAACAAAGCTGATTTAAATATTGGTAAAAACTGAAGCCATACTGTTCTAAAAAGTTGGTTTACAAATTAATGTCTCAGAGACATGAATGGAGACCTACAAATGCCACACTTCAGATTTTCATTTGTAAAATCCTTCTCCCAAAATGCTTCATTTAACACCAAGTCTATTGTTTGATGAGTGCGATTTTGGTACATGATTAAAAACAATAAGTGCAAGGAGAGGTACTTTAGTTTTGGAATCAAAAGTGAAACGTGCATACCTGCCCAGCCCTGCCACACAGTGTACAGCGACGCAGCAGCCAGGTTGCTCTCGAAACTTTGTGTTAAGCAGCTTGAGCCAGTCGTCTACGATCTGCGTGGGAGGAGGGGCGCCATCGTCAAATGGCCAGTCCTGGATTCAAGATGTGGAAATTAATCAATATGAACCACAGTGGAAGACAGAGGGGTGAACAATACAGACGAATGCTAATACAGGTAGTGATGTTACTTTTGCAATCACTTGTATGGCTGTGAAACATTAATGTAACAGTTTAAAGCTGGACAAGTCGGAAATTAACCCTTAAAGCCACTAGTTACTAGAGATGCTTACCACGACTTGTATGCCCTCTTTTTCCACTGGAGCCTTATCATAGGTGGCATCACAAACTCTCACCAAAGTGTTGACCTCAAACTTTTTCAGTTCCTGGAAGAAATTGAATAATGACTTCATGTCAGAGGGCCTTAAAGCAGATGTGAACACATTAGATAACAGATAATGCTTCACCTCGGTAAACTTGTTGAGTGTAGCATTGGTGGGATTGTGCGTGATAAGGAACCTCATGGCCTCATGTTTAATCTCGACTGCAGCAGGGCGGTTCATGTTGGCGAGACGGCTTTAAAAAAACAATTACAATACAATACTCTTATAAAACAAAAAAAAGCAACTTTTGGCTCAGATGTACAGACTGCTAGGAGGTGTATGTGATCAGGGGAGGGTAAAATAAATAAAAAGGACAAGATGTGAAGTACAATGGTCAGGAGAACAAATCTTCACTGCAGGATGATTCACATAGAAAAGAGCAACAAAAAGAAAACTAGTCCACAGTATTCTGGGATGTGGAAAAAACGTAAAATAAAACAAAAACAATGTGGGAAAAAAAAAAAAAAGATGAGACTATCCAGAAGTCATCCAATGAGTTTACCCCATTCAGGAGAGCTGTTTGTGATTGGCTGTTCAAGGAGAAAGTTGAAAGCAAATATTTTTCGTATTGGTTGGGACAGGGCAGGGAAGGCAGGCCAAGGACTACGCAGTATCCCAGAGGGGAGGGGGGGCGGCAGCCTTTTGGAAGAGTCAGCAGTTCCTAATGTGCTGGCAGTCAGGGGGGTTTCTGGGTAGCGTAGTCCCTCGGGGGTCGGCCGATTCACTTCTCCGCAGAGGTGAGGTGCTGTGCCTGGCAGAATTCTCCGGTCACACACGCCATATAGGTACGGCTGAAGTCAACACAGAAAGCCTGGGAAGAGAGGAAAAGATGGGATTTCATTTATAACAATATATGACAGATCTTTAGATTAATAGAAAAAGTGTATATTTCTCACAGAACGGACATAAAATCATCCTGCACCAGACGTTGCAAAATAAAGCTGAAAAAATATTTCGTCATGCATGTCTTCAAAACCAATTTAGAGACTAGTCTCCATCATGAAAATCTAAAAATAATCTACCCAAGTTTACTAAACATAAGTGTTTACACAACCAGATTCAGGAAGAAAATCTCTCACCCGCTATGCCTATCGTATGACCATAACTAATAGAGAATTAACCCATTCAAATATCATGAAGGCATTTCCTCAAGCATCAGATTATCCTTTAATTTCTGATGGAAGTAAAGGGGCGACAGTGTAGGAGGAGGGGATGTAGGAGTTTGCCCTGAAATCGAAGGATTGACCGTTCAAGCCCCGGCTCCATCTTTCAGTGTCGTTGTGTATTTGGGCAAGACACTTTACCTGCATTGTCTACTGATGGTGGTCAGAGGGCCCGGTGGTGCCAGTGTCTGTCAGTGAGCTCAGGGCAGCAGTGTAGCTTGCCACCATCAGTGTGTGAGTGAATGGGTGAATGACTGAATGCAATGTTAAGCACTTTGGTTAAGTCTCCTGACTTGAAAAAGCGCTATACAAGTACAGGCCATTTACCATTTAAAGAGTTGTTGTACTTCTCTGTTGAGTGTGCTTCTCATAGCTAAACCCAGTGAACAGCAACTGGTCCTCCGAGTGCTTAGGGCAACATCAACTTACTTAAATTAAAAGAAATCCATGGACTGAAACAATTTTTTTCCATTATCCAAGGTGTTTAATGACTGGGACAATATTGTTATTGGGCGGGGCTGGACAATAATTCAATTAGAAGTGTGGCTAACGACCGTTTTGCTAATCAATTAATCTGTCAATTATTTTTACAACGGACAGCAACATTTCTTTAAAGAACAGTTTTTACAGAATTTAAAAGAGAACTCAAAATTTTCCTCTTGAGGAGTTCTTGGTAAAGCATAATGACAGACCAAGAAATCTTTTTTTTTTTTTTTTTTTATTATCTTAAATGCAAAATGTTTATATATTTTTTTTTTTACAATTTTGATATAATTACTTTTCTAAGTGGGTTGCTCTCTCAGCTAAGGTAATGTTTTAGAGTCTTAATAATCCAGTTAACAATTAATCGATTACTAAATTAGCTGATGATTATTTCAATAATCAATATATATTTTATTCAATAACAGTGATGAATGCTATGAATAATTGGTACGCTTTTCAATTTTCCCCGTGCCACGGTTAAAAATAAAAGAAAACAGAGGGAAGGATTTATTTTGTGTTAGTAAACATTAAAAGTGTGCAACAAACCAGACTTTTGCACAGAGGAAATAAGCGATCAACTTCTTCATTTTAAATGACTTATTACAGTATTTTGTGAAAATTGCTACAACATTTTTTGGATTTAAATGAAAGCTTATATTCAAGAGATTGCTTGTTTTCTCAAGAGTTCAAGGAAACTACTGCATTTCATATTAAAGTGTATGGTAAAAGAAATGATACCCCCTTTACGCCTGTAAAACTGAGACACTTGCTGCTGATGGACAACCATATTTCACTGCATACTCAACGTTTCACCATCCAATCAGAAAAATGTGTTGTTGAAATTTAATAGGGTTGCACGATATAATCGGCCCCCTATCGGTATCGGCCTTAAAACTGAATATCGGACATCGGCCACCCCACCGATATTTAACCCGATATTTGATCGGCTTCTGAGTTTCTAAAGTCTAAAAAAAAAAAAAATAGATACTACTTCTTCTTCCTCAAAAACTTTTTTTACAGGACTTAAAAACTTCTAAAGATGAGGGAAAAATATTGATACATTAAAATATCACAATATATTCATATGCTGATATATTGCCATTCAAAAACACCATATCAATCTCTTTTACTAATGAAATATTGCTATATGTCATCGTTATGCTACGAAATCCCCCGAAAATTCACGAAATTTTGCCATATTTTTATGTGTTGATATATTGACGCGGTATCGATCTATTTTACTAACAAAATCTCACAAGAATTTGCAAAATATCACGAGAGTTTGCAACAGAACGATGAAATTTCACGAGATTTTGAAAGTAAAATAGATCGATACCGCGTTTTTAAAAATCATTTTGATATCAGTATATGAAAATATATTTGAGTATATTATTTTTCAAAGTGTCAGAAATGGATAACAAAACTGCTATTTTCAATGACTACTTATTTTTGTCCAGCTTTAACATCGGTATCGATATCGGCTACATGAGTTTTAAAATATCGGCATATCGGATATAGGCCAAAATCCCAATATCGTGCACCCCTAAAATTTAATATTGAAAAACTGAAGGTGAAAGATCAATAAATTGTGCATAAGCCATCATTTCCTAGTATACTCAAACCCTTAATATTGTCAGATTAATTCAGTGATTACCAAGTTATATTCAAGCATAAAGCAAAATTCTACATCATCTCTACACAATAAAAAAAATGCACTTTAAGAGCAAATTTGTAGATCTTTAATGTAAACCAGATGATTAAGAAATTTTAATAAAGGGACAAACAGTTAACCAACTACAGTGCAGACAGAATGATTGTTTGAAGATCATTAAATACCAGCATTTCTCCTTTGTCTAAACATGGAATGAAACTTTTCCTCTCCTTGTGTCAAAGGCAATCCATTGATCCAATTACTCAACCTCCATAACCTGATGTTTTACCAACAAGAGAAGAAAAAAATTGTGCCTGGAACCAAAACATCCTGTGTTCTAGTTTAATAGCAATAAGCTCTTTAAGATTTAATAAACAAGCTACTCTGAATTTAAGTGATCCTTCTGCCACTGGGAATTATTAAACAGCTTAAGAAGTGATCACTACTCCACAGGAGACTTTTGAATTTGTAAAATTACAACACCTTTGGATTATGACACCACCTGCCACACAAATGGAAACTAATAATATGCACAGCAGGGCTCCAGTAAAGAACAGGTAATGTCTGGAACTAGCCGGGGAGTCGTGAGTCAAACCACTGCCAAGTCCTGAACACTTAAAAGCCAGCTGCCGCAAACTGGCTGAAACCGTCTTAGACGGAGGTGTGAGGGGAGGGAGGGGGCTGGCTATCAGAACTATGTACACACACACGAATGGGTGGTATAAAGCGCAGACTTTAGCACTGCATCGCAGGCTATAGTCACAAGGTAAGGATTAAAGGGTCGGCAAAGATTCAATAATCTTCACTGCTTCAGTCTCACGCTCTTTTTTTAAAACTTTAAAAATAAAGGTTTTGAGTCACTGCTGAACATTCACTAAAAGAGAAAAGGTCCACAGTGAAAGAAACCAAAGCAACTTTCTCATCTCTCTCCAACTCCTCCAATCTAGCCTGCTGTTGCTTATCCTCAGTCAGCAACTAACCACAGAGTCAAAGGGATGACTTCACCCACTCCTGATTCTAAAACTCTGTTCTTCTCTCCTTCTTCTGTACTTGGCAGTGGCTACAAGGAAACTGAAAAAATAGCCATGATTCTCCCCCCTTTCCTTTTATTCTGTGACAACAGAGATCTGCCGTGACGTCTGTAATTACCACCCTCAAGCTGCCAGAGAGAACAGGAAGATTGCATGCAGACAGTGGAAGAATGAGGACTTTAAGGATTTAATGAACTTCTGACTCTCCAGAAACAACAGTTTTAAAAGGGGAGGCTAGTTGGTGGATTTCATGGTTGAAACACTATAAGCAGACAAGACGAGGATTCCCCCAGTGTGACAGGATATATACCCAAAAGATATAAACAAATTTATTAAGCAGATGCTAAAAAACAAAATGCTACTGACACCATTTGAGTTTCATGCATGGATATAAATGTAAAAAAGAAGAGCAGACTTGTGGCCTCGTGGTTAAAGCCGGGAATCTGTATTGAAATGCCTCATTAAGAATGAATAGGGTTAAGCATATGTGCTTCCCTTTTAAAATCGCTACCCTCGCAACATGCTAATAAGCAACAATTCTGGTAACAGTTTATGCAACTTGCTCAAAATAAAAATAAAATAAAAACTATAGTCATGGTCATTGTATGTTTATATATAAATATGAGCAAATGATAAAGAAAAACACAGTTCTAGTCAGATGACATGTCTTTATTTGCCTCCAAAAAAGCACCGTTGGGACAAGTTTGTCCTAAATTTAAGGCACTTTAAATTTATTTATTTTTTTTAAAAGAGGAAGTAAACATTGGCAACATCAGACCAGCCCAGCTGCTTGCCGGGCTGTCATCACAACACTGTCAGGAAGGCATGCAAATGATGCTTGTAATTTGCAAACTGGTTCTGCGGTGATGAACCAAGTAAATAGAAGAACAAAATGCACTCGCCGTTTGTAGAACAAAAAAAAAGAAAACAGTTTAACCACACAGGAAACAAGCAACATTGCATAAATTAACATTGAGAGCTGCTAAGTGAAGATGAGCTAACAATGTCCGGTCGATGTTAATGAAGGGTTGAGGTATTTTATGTTTACCGAGTCCTGGAGTATTTGATTTATAAGCCTATCCACTTTTTACAAGCCATTGTTCTTCTCAAATATTCCAATGTTATATTTTTCTTTGTTTTACTAAACCTGAGTTTATTTCCTGGTTACTACAAGAAATGAAATGCATAAAGGCTCCCATTTTGTGCATGCATATTATTTATATTTTCAATATATCTCTCTCTTGTGTAAAAATCCTTCGTCATCTTTACCGTTGACAGGCTGCAGCCATGTCCCGAATTCCTCGTTTTCCAGTCACTTTTGTTGGAATTTGCATTTTCCCATTCCCTTGCCATTTCTTAGCCTTGAGCTTCTTTTCCGAACATACCGCTTTCAACCATAAGCAGTTCCACGCAAAAATGTGGAACATGTTATATCTATTTTTTAAATAAAGCATTTTAAATGCCACGATAATCACATTTAATGAATTTTAATGCCTTGATTAAAAAAAATATATATAATTTAATGACTTTTATTGACCCACGGAAACCTTGTAATAGTGTGAATAAAATAAAAAAAAATAGCTGAATATTCCCTGAAATCTCTTCTAGCTTTGAAGGAAAAGGGAACAATATGTGGGTGAGCAGGGAGTAGAAGTACTACCTGATAAGAACCACCATATCTGAGAACAGTGAGGGACATGCAAACCAAAACATTTGATTAAAAGAGAATAATAGGAATCAGGGCATGAGTATTCACACCTGCCAACTCATTGGTACAGAAGGCTTTAGTTACAGGGAAAAGTATAGAATGCAAACGTATCTGAATAAAGGCCTTAACACATCGTTTGCATAGGGCTTTTTAATCTCCCTTTTTTTTTTCTCATGTCACACTGACTGCGTATAGAGGCTCTGACTTGGCAGGGTGGGCAGATCTGCACGGTATCTTTTACATTTTGTCTCTGTGCGCCACAAATGAAAACAATTTCCCACATTTATCTTGGATTATGAGAAGTTATATAAAATAAAAATAAAGCGCAGCCAAAAAGCAAAGCCCCACTTAACGAGCCTGCAGCGTCTCAAACTAGAACAGATAGAGACTGTTCATATGCCGATATTAAAAGATGAAAAGTATGTCTAAAGACAAGAAAAACAGCAATAAATGCTGCTTAGTCCAACTAAAATAGACCTCGGGTTGATCTCAGTAGAAGCTACGCAAGTTCCTCGCATAAAATCGTATCGGGTGTGATCCTCACCATTGACACTCAATGCGCGCTAAACGCCACAACTTGGACACGATATTCTGCCAGATTGGACGCAAAATCGGACCTGGTGTGTTCCTGCCTTAAAAAGTAGCACCACAGAACCAAGTTTTATCCTTCCTCATAATCAAAATGTAGTTAAAATGGTGATGCCAGATTAAAGAGCCTGTAGAAAGTTAGCAGCTGATTTAATTCAAAGCCTTTTAGTTAGCTAAACACTTTTGCACAACATGATTGCATAACTAACACAGATAATGACTTTCTGTTGACACCCAATGGCAGTCAGCTGGTCAATCACAATATACAAAAAAGTAAGTAATGTAAACAGAATCCGGCTACAGTACAGGTGCTGGTCATAAAATTAGAATATCATGAAAAAGTAGATTGATTTCAGTAATTCCATTTAAAAAGTGAAACTTGTATATTATATTCATACATTACATACAAACTCATATATTTCAGATGTTTATTTTGTTTAATTTTGATGATTACAAATGACAACAAATGAAAATCTCAAATTCATCATATCAAAAAATTAGAATATTACTGAAGACCAATAAAAACAAAGGATTTATAGAAATGTTGGCCAACTGAAAAGTATGAACATGAAAAGTATGAGCATGTACAGCACTCAGTATTTAGTTGGGCCTCCTTTGGCCTGTATTACTGCAGCAATGCGGCGTGGCATGGAGTCGATCAGTCTGTGGCACTGCTCAGGTGTTATGATAGCCCAGGTTGCTCTAATAGTGGCTTTTAGCTCTTCTGAATTGTTGGGTCTGGTGTATTGCATCTTCTTCTTCACAATACCCCATAGATTTTCTATGGGGTTAAGGTCAGGAGAGTTTGCTGGCCAATTAAGAACAGGGATACCATGGTCCTTCAACCAGGTACTGGTAGCTTTGGCACTGTGTGCAGGTGCCAAGTCCTGTTGGAAAATGAAATCTGCATCTCCAAAAAGTTGGTCAGCTGCAGGAAGCATGAAGTGCTCTAAAACTTCCTGGTATGTGGCTGCGTTGACCCTGGACCTCAGAAAACACAATGGACCAACACCAGCAGATGACATGGCACCCCAAACCATCACTGACTGTGGAAACTTTACACTGGACTTCAAGCAACGTGGATGAAGTGCCTCTCTTCTTTTCCTCCAGACTCTGGGACCTTGATTTCCAAAGGTAATGCAAAATTTACTTTCATCAGAGAACATGACTTTGGACCACTCACCAGCAGTCCAGTCCTGTTTCTCTTTAGCCCAGGCAAGACGCTTCTGACGCTGTCTGTGGTTCAAGAGTGGCTTGACACAAGGAATGCGACAGCAGAAACCCATGTCTTTCATACGTCTGTGTGTGATGGTTCTTGAAGCACTCACTTCAGCTGCAGTCCACTCTTTGTGAATCTCCCCCACATTTTTGAATGGGTTTTGTTTCACAATCCTCTCCAGGGTGCGGTTATCTCTCTTGCTTGTACACTTTTTTCGACCACATCTTTTCCTTCCCTTCGCCTCTCTATTAATGTGCTTGGACACTGAGCTCTGTGAACAGCCAGCCTCTTTATCGATGACCTTTTGTGTCTTGCCCTCCTTGTGCAAGGTGTCGATGGTCGTCTTTTGGACAACTGTCAAGTCAGCAGTCTTCCCCATGATTGTGTAGCCTATAGAACTAGACTGAAAGACCATTTAAAGGCTTTTGCAGGTGGTTTGAGTTAATTAGCTGATTAGAGTGTGGCACCAGGGGCCATCAATTTTGAACCTTTTCACAATATTCAAATTTTCTGATATGATGAATTTGAGATTTTCATTTGTTGTCATTTGTAATCATCAAAATTAAACAAAATAAACATCTGAAATATATGAGTTTGTATGTAATGTATGAATATAATATACAAGTTTCACTTTTTAAATGGAATTACTGAAATCAATCTACTTTTTCATGATATTCTAATTTTATGACCAGCACCTGTATTACATTTGCTACACAGGAGACGGGGTGTTGTGCTAAAATTAGAATGCACAAACACCCACACCCCCCATATGAGGTTAAATATCTGGGCACACAGCAACTAGTATGAAATGAAGGCAAAACAGACATTTGGCAAACAGGAATTTGTGAGGCCATCTTTTCACTCCTTGTGAAAGAGGCTATATGAATCTGGTTTGGTGGTTTGAGGTTGTGCGTCTCCTCAGTGATGTTGTGTCTAGAGCCAGACTGGGCACGACCAGATTATACTGCCTTGAAGCGGCTGGAGGCCTAACTTTGTGTCTGATCCTGGTTCATTAGCGGGAGGAGGGGGGTGACATGTGTCACAAAAGTGACATTTGGTGGCTGACCTAAATTTGAAGGCAGCAGGACGTCTTCCGTCTCCAATTAGGCGTTATTTAGAGCTTTTATGAAAGCAGGCATCAATATCAATTTGAAACTAAATTAAGGAAAGAACAGGGAGGCAGTTTGAACAACCTTTGCAAACAACATCTGTAGGGATAAAAGTGGAACAAAGTGTCACTCTGGTCCCTGTGACCTCTCTCCAAGTCTTAAATAAAAGATAAAAGATAAATGATGTACCTGGAAATGTCAAACAGGTCAAGCAAGTGCAGTTACAGGAAGAAAGCTGGTAAATCAGTGACATTTAAGAAAGCTTCTAAAAGAGGACATAACAATTGGTTTGCAGTACTAAACAAGACATAACAGGGAGTGAAAGCAAAGACGTCAGGATCGCATCTGTCCGACATTACAGCTGGTCCTTACTACGATGACTTCGCTGATAGAATGGATCAGCAGCTTTTTACCTCCGACTGGAGGGACCTCAATTTGCAAATCTCTCAAAACTAGTTTTCTTTTCCATTTCCCAGCTGTTCCAACATGGGTTTGATTGCACTTGAACTCACCTGAACCCTTGAGTGAGGACAACAATTCAGGAAGGCAGTTCATCCTTTAAGGGTGCTCTGAAACAAAGTTTTGATAGGCATCTTTGAGACTCTATAGGAAAATAAATGGATTGTTGAGTTTAAAGGAGGGTTGTGCAATTTCAAATGGATAAAAAGGCATGCGGTTTTTAACTTTTCTATTATCAGCAAGAAACCTTTTTTAGCCCTAACGGAAGCAAGTTTAGGCAACTCACAGCCTATTTCTCTCCTTTCACGGCCATGAAAGGAGAGAAAGGCTGAAAGTTTACAGAAATACAAGTCAGAACATTTAAATTCATATAAATGCAATCATAGACAAATTTAGATCCCATGCTATTTTTAAATATAATTCAGTCAAATGTTTTTCTTTATACAATTCCAATTGCTGAAAAGTAAAGTCCAAAAAGATAGAAAGAGCTTCAAAGGTAGAAATAGAAAATAAGGCTTAGAAAGTATCCTCTAAGGGGGCCCTCCAGAAGTGAGTGGCCATCTTCCACAATGAGGCATCTTTTTGATCAAGGTAAACCAATCTTTAAAACTTCTAAAAAGTTTCCGTCCTTTAAAACAAGGCCTCCAAATAGGAGACTAAAGAAACCTTTTCCTTTGCAGTTTGGAGCATAGATGACAGCACTAACCCACTTTTCACCATGTTTTTCGTTCTCAAGACAGAATGGCTTGAAAACTAAATGAGCTCTGTCCAATACAGTTATGATTTTAAGAGTATAGTCAGCAGGCTGAGGCTAGAGGATCCGTCTGCTCTGTCGTCTCACTATGAGAGCAGATAGCTGAGCTAACTAACCAGCTAGTATAAGCTTCTTAGTTTCTGTCTTTTTTTGTGATAAGCATAGCAAAAAGAATGTGCTATGTGATGACAGTTCGTACCTACAAATCTGTGTTATTTTCAACAGGTTTATTACTGACCTTAACACCTCTATAATCAAACTATTCTCAAATGAAAATGAAACCTTAGAGTGAAACGCAGGTGGTTATGGAAAAGAAAAATGTAAATAAAATCGCAATAAGGGAAATCTTTACAACGAAAAAATGAAAAAAAAAAAACACAGCTAGCTGCATGGATGGATGACAGCTAGTCCTTGGGAAAGACATCAAGAACAAATAGGTCGTCCTTAATTCAAAAGAGCCATCACCAAAGTTACACCAAAAGTCAGGGGGAGAAAGAGATGTAGCAACATAACTTTAAAATTGCACACAAAAAAGCCTACTTGTTTTTCCGAAGAACATGGAATGAATAGAGAAGTCAAAGAAGACCATATGCAACTACATCCAGCAAATGGCAAACACTAAGTTATGTACACAAACCCTCCCCCTGTCATCTAACATGCTTGGAAGCAAACAAAGTCAAACACAAAAAACAAGAAGGCAAAGAAAGTAGTACAATAAGCAACTCAAGTTAAGCCTCTCTCCTCCTTTTATAGCTTCACATGTTTATCTAGTGCAACAAGCACAACACTCAAATCCCCAGACATGCCTGGGCAAGCAGACATTGAAAGATTGAGGCGTATATGCAAAATTCAGCTCTGGCGATCTCAGACTGTTGTTGAGCCTCTCACGACCTGCCCTCTCCAGGGGATTTGAAAACAGCAGGCTCGGCAGAAAGTGATACGTCAAGGCAGTGGATGCTGCATTACTTCATGTTTTGTTGACGGAATTCTGCCACATTTCCAAGAACGGATGTGGGAATCACTGGTACATGTCCTTTCAGCATGTTTCCAAGAACACGATCTCGGTTCGGCTTAATGGTAATTAAAGGAGGGAAAGAAAACGCTCCTTTTTGTTGTATAGAAGAATTGGGCGTACTTCAAAAACTTTACACAAGTGTCTCCTAAATGTTTCCTAGAAAATTGTTTCCTACCAGCCAGAGGCATGTCCACAGTCTGATCCAAGACTCTTCAACATCTTACCAGACTTCAATATATAAACTAGGATTACCATTATGTAGGATTTTAATTTTTTTTTTTTATAAAATATGTTATGTATAAAGATGAATTTGACTTAAGAGATAAGTTTATCGCTAAAATTGCAAGTCAAGTGTGGTTGAGTTGTTTCAGTACAGATATGTCAACTTTCTATCAATATTGTTACCTTTCTGTCAAGAGATTAATTGAAAACGTATTGTAAAAAAAAGAGAGAAGTAAAACCATTCAATCCACCTGAAGTCCATTGAAATGATCAGTTTTTGTCAGTCTAAAACCAGTAATATTAGTCATGAATAACAATATTTTATGTTAGGAACGAGCTATGCGCCGACAGTCACCACAAAACTACTTTTAGTTTTGGAGAGAAAATCCAGTGCAACAAATGTTCAGTAAACCTGCAGTCTAAAAACATAATTCAGAAAACCATTTCACAATGGATACAGAAAGGAAAAGCAAGGAGTAGGCTACAGCTGCTTCTACCAAACGTGTTTCTTTGTGAGTGGGAAGCATTTAACAAATATCCACAAATAGATATAGATGCAGAATGAAGAAACACATGTAGGACTATTCTCAGCCCTGTCCATTATACTGTGCCACAGCAGAAGAATACTTGAGTAACAATAGCAATATTGAAATATTTTCCAACTTTATAATGTTTGCCAAGTATTGTGGTTAACTGTGGATTTAGTGGGATTACTGTACTCTCATTAAACAACAAAACAAAAAGATAACCAAGAGTTCATATGAAACAAAGTAGTTGAGCCAATGTGTCCAAGGTCAATGGCTCCTATAAGCATAATTGCCAGAGTTTAAGGAATGTTTACTTAGGACTTGCATGGGTCAAAAAGCCCGGACTTGCCGTCCAATAATCACCCCTGGGTGAGATAAGGCAAGCTCTACTATGACTAGAGACATAACCTCCAGTGAATAATAGTTTCCCCAGAAACTGAGACAGCCACTAAAAAGAGAAAAATAAACAATGTAGAGGATACTATGGATCAATTTAGATGGGTTCAAGATAACCAGAGCAGCACAATAATAGGAAATCATTTGATGTCAATATAAATTAAATTTCTAGCAATACATTCCAATTTTCTTCTTTCCTCTTATTTTCATCAGTGTTCCCATCCTTCAGTGACCTTTTACAAAGTGCACAATGTTCTTTGTGTCCAGTAAGCATCAGCTGCTGTAACACTCTGACCCATTATTACATTATTAATTAAAAATGTCATTAATGAAAACGCTTATCTGCAATATGAATTGCAAACCCTGACAACGTGATGCATCTGTGACACATTTAGCAGAGTTAAGAGATAATCGGTGAAGACAATTGTGTTATTAAAAGTGGTTGAAAAGCTGGCAAAACAAAAATAGCTGTGTGTGTCCAGGGTGTTCTGACATGGCTTTATACAGGCGCCCTTTAAAAATGTTAAAACCGCCATCTGACCTGGCTGAATGTGGGACACCTGGGGATAATGTTAATTTAGGCAACTTTTTCATACTACATAAAAGCCCGATGTCAAACAAAAACTTTGTGGACAAGCAGAGCCGTCTAGCCTTTCAAAAATAGAAAGCATGTAAAGTGTATTTTCAACAGAAGTAATCAAAATGGGTGCAGATAAACTGCTTATAAAAAAAAAGGGGGAATTTTATTCAATCAAACTAAGTTACAGGTCTGCTTTATCAATGACTTTTAAAAACGTGTTGTCCCAGACAGCTGTCAGCACATCTTTTTTTAAAGGCATAATATTTAGCAGTAGCTTATTTTGGGACCTTCCTGATTAGATCCACTCATTTACTGGTAGCATGGTATATTTTAGTTTGTGCAAACCTTAAAAATGCATACTAAGGGGAGAGTGTTTTTACTGTCACATATCATATTAACTCCTAGTTTTTTTTTTAAGCTGATGATTTATGCATTGCCCTCATAGTTCCAATTGGCTGACAATGCAAGTTATGGGTTATGAGAAAAAAAAAACAAAAAAAAAACGAAAAACTGTCACTGTGTTTATGTGATGATAAATGTGCAAGCTGACTATCTGGTTCAGCCTTGCTGTATTCCCAAAGGACAGAAGCCAATGTTCTGTTGGAAGGCTTCTTGTTCTGGCTGTGTGTGTCCCTGTTAAACTAAGCTAGGCACAGTAGGTGGGGGGACATGAAACCCCCTCCCTATTCCTGTGAAAAGGAACACCCAGCACACATGAACTTGAATGGTTAAGGCCACTTATCACTTGCTTTACAGCCTTTGAGTGAGTACAGATAAACAAAGTAATGATCAAAGCCTTGTGATGGTGCTTAGAGGAGAGGAAAGGGCAGAGGAACAAACAAGAGGGACAAAAATGTCAGAACAAATGTGAACCCAAGCCAAGTGATAAAATGCAAAGTGGGGCTTCTATCACACAATTATTTAAATATCAAAATAAATATCAAAACCATTAAAGCCTTGAATTAAGCTGAAATACATCAGTTGAAAGCTTAACTTTCACAGTGGGATTTTTCCGTTTCTGGTGGTGGAATAGGTTAAGGCTGCTATGTTTTGTTTCCCAAAAAATATTCACAACCTTAGCATTATTAACCTTTTAAGATTCGGAAATCGCTAAAAGTACAGAACTCAGCTTTGAAGTCTGGTGATAGAGAGACACTGAGGAAAACGCGTGCCAACTTAACCTGTCCCATTAGATTAGCAAAGCAGAACTGCAGCCAGAAGATCCAGGATTTCTTCCATGATGCAAGCAACACCAGGAGGATGTGGCAAGGCATACGGGCAATCACAGACTAACCCCCTACCCCCTCAGCTGTAGAGGTGGTCAGCAGCACCAAAGTCATAGGGGTGTAAATCACAGACAACCTCACCTGGACTGTAAACACCACCTCACTTCTCAAAAGAGCACAGAAGCGCATGTACTTCCTGCAAAGCATGAGGAGAGCCCACCAGCCCCTACCCATCCTCACGACCTTTTACAGAGGCACCACAGAGAGCGTTCTGACCAGCTGTGTGCCGCAGCACCTCAGACTGGAAGAAGCTGAGAACAGTAGGGAGGATCATCCGGGCCCCTCTTTCCTCCATGAAGGACATTTCACTCCCAGCACTGTGTGTCCCGA